TATATATATATATATAAAATAAAAAATAATGAATATATTTTAAAAAGGAAGAAAATATATCAATAGTAAATTTTAAAAAAGAAATGTGATAGCTGAACAAGAGCCTGAGGATTATATGGTGCCCTTCTTGCATTACTGACTTGTTTATTCAGTACAATTGTGTGCCAAATAGCAGACACCCTAAAAGTCAGACCATCAACTTTCAGAGAGAAGGAACCCAAGAACACTGGGGGTACAGTGCCATAGCAAAATCGCTCCTGGGGGAGCTCTAGCCTAAGGGACCCCCAGATCCCATACTCTGCTCTTTCTGACAAGCTGCCCTAAGCTCCTCTTGTAGGCTGTCTTAGCTCCTCTGAGCTGCCTTTTCTATCCCCTGTCCTAGAAAGGCAGGTCCATCTATGGCATTGTCTGACCTTGGAGGCCATTCTCATGACCATCACCTTGTTTGATAATGACTTTTCAGGCATGTTTTACTATGGCCATTTAATGATGAGGAAGCTGAGATTTCGGAGACAAGGAGTTTGGCAATGATCATACATGGCAGTGTGTGCTCTGAAACCGTCCCCCTGCCTCCAGCCCTCCAGTCAGCTTCCTCTGGCTGACAGGGGAGAGCAGCGCCTCCTTAATGACACTGAGAAAAGGGAAAAAGAAGCTTTGAAATGTGAGAAGGCTGTAGCGTATCCAGGAGTAGGTAGAAGAGACAAACAGCGAAAATTCAGAACCTGTTTGTTTGGTTTTTGTTTGTTTCAGACAAGGTCTCACTATGTAGCTCTGGCTGGCCTGGAACTTGCTGCTGCTTTCCAAGTGTGATATTATAAAGCATGTGCCACTATACCAGATGATTCTGAGGAGCTCAAGTGTAGCTCAGTGGCAGAGCATGCACAAGGCTCTGGGTTCCATCAAGAGTGCTGAGGGCCGGGCGTGGTGGCACATGCCTTTAATCCCAGCTGGCAGGTGGATCTTTGTGAGTTCAAGGCCAGCCTGGTCTACATAGTGAGTTCCAGGACAGCTGGGGCTACAAGGAGACCCTGTCTCAAAAACACACACACACAAAAAGACTGCTGAGAAAAAAAAAAGATTCTAAGCTTGAAATCTACTCTAGGCCAGTGTGTGCAGGACCTGGGACCGTGCACCCACCATCTGCCACCCACTCTGTGCTCATCTGTTCACTCCTCTGCCCACTCATCCTCTGCTCTCTCCTGCCTCTGTCCATCTACCCTTCCTTGAATCCTTTTGTCCACCCCTCCCCACCATTTGCTGTTGTCAGCTGGGCTGGAGCCTGGACATGCAGACTTGCAGAAGCAGCCCTTGGAAGGGAGACAAAGTGTTAGTGAAACTAACCATAAGAAGCAGGAGAGCTGTTTCAACAGAAACAGTTTTCCCACATAGACATTATTCCACCAATAAACCAGGAGAAAATAGTGAATTATTTTAATATTCTGTACTTATTATGATGAAGTATGCCCCCTTGATGGATGTGATGGCCCTTAGCACCCATCCCTTCCGCCTTTTGTGAATCTTTTCTGCTGTGGAGCCTGTAGAGCTAAAAGGAACATTACCCAGATCTTCTTGCAGACCAGGCTCTGGATTTAAATTCTGTTTATGAAGTGAGCTCTGAGTGCTTTAGAAGGCAGAAAGAGGAAAGCCTGCACCTCTCTGGAGTTTGGCACTGTCACAGGGAAGGAAACGGAGCGTTGGAATTTATCTTTCAATTAATTCCATTTTAATCCAGGTGGGATTATTTACATTTATAATCCCAGCACTTGGGAGGCTGAAGTAGGAAGCTTGCCATGAGTTCAAGGTCAGTCTAGTCTGCATAATGAATTCTGGACTACAGAGTAAGACCTTGTCTCAAAAACCCAAGTCTAGTGGCTAGAGAGGTGGCTCAGTAGTTAAGAGTCCTTGCTGCGGGGCTGGAGAGATGGCTCAGTGGTTAAGAACACTGGCTGTTTTTGCAGAAGACCCAGGTTCAAATCCCAGCACCCACATGGTGGCTAACAACTATCCATAACTCCAGTTCCAGGGGATTCCATGCCCTCTTCTACCTCCATGGGCACTGCACAACACAGGTGCATTTAAATACATGCAAGAGTAACACATACACATAGAATAAAAATAAAAAAGAGTACTTGCTGCTTTTGCAAAGGATCCAAGTTTGGTTCCTAGCACCCCCATGGTGGCTTATAACTTCTGTAACTCCAGTTTCAGGGGATCCAATGCCCTCTGCAGGTGCAGGCAAACACTTAAAATAAAAATAAATAAATCCAAAACAAGACAAAAACCCATGAGCATGGTGGTGTACGCCTTCAGTTCCAGCACTCGGGAGGCAGAAGCAGGTGGATCTCTGTGAGATCAAGACCAGCCTGGTCTACATAGAGAGTGCCAGGCCAGCTGGGGCTACAGGGAGACAGTGTCTCAAAAAGACCAAAAAAAAAAAAAACCAAAAAAAAAAAAAACCACAACAACAAAAAACCCCCAAACTCAGCTAGGTGTGGTAGCACAAGCCTGTAATCCCAGCACTTCGAAGGTAGAAACAGAGGGATCTGGAGTTTAAGGTCATCCAAGGTTGGCCTGGGATACAAGTCTCAAAAGAAAAAAATACAAATAAACAAAACAACAACAAAAAACCCTGTCAGGAGAAAGGCATTTTTTTAGACTGTATTCTTTCCCAGCAAGGCAAAGGGTAGCGTGAGACTTCTTACCACTGAAGGGGTTGTCTCCCCCGAAGAACTCGTGGAACACTTTTTCAGGGTTGCCGTGGAAGACATAGCCTGTTGTCCACGGAGTCTGGGATCCAAACTCCAGAGGAATCCCACCCTTTAGGCCTTCCTCTCCAAACTTGTCATAGATGCTTCTCTTCACAGCTGTGGATATGTATGACCTTGAGGAGGGGTTCAGCCTTGAGGCCTAAGATCAACACAAGGGCTGAGACATCTGGGGAAGGAGATAGGCAAGGACCACCTTACTTCCCAGTGCCTGCTGCCTGAAAGTCTCTAGAATGAGATCCTAGAAGCCAGGGAGTCAGTGTCATTCTGTGCAAATTTCAAATTCATTCATTTCCAGGGATGACCCCTATAGCTCGAAAGAGAGGTGAGAAAAAAAAAATCTCTTTTGGTGGGGATTGCAGGAGAAACTGGGAGACTAAGGGCCAGGTTACACACCAGCATTCAACTTCACCCGCTCTTACCTGGCAGGTAACTAAAATTCTAAAATTTTGAAATTTTGGAACCTAAGAATTCTGAACTTGTAATTTTAGAGCTTGGAATCCTGAAAACTCATGTCTAGAGAAACAGTACTTGTCCCCTGGGATATCCACAATCACCATCCCCAGGCTCAGCCCTGGGGAAGCCAGCTGGGCCACTGTTGTGTTGAGCCACACATCTGATTTCCAAATATAAAGATTTTCTAAAGGCTCCAGGTCTGTTTCTGGCTGTCTGTGCTCTTGCCGTCCCTATAAACAGTCTGGGAAGGACAAATGGGCATGCTTACTTAGCCTCAGCCCTCTGCCCTTAGACAGCCAGCATCCTCCTCTTCACCTCCGAAAGGCTCATCCCTGTAGGACTGGGGGGTGGGCAAGGAGAATGGATGCTTACTCTCGTCTGTCAGAAAACCCTATAGTCTAGACACTTAGGAAGGATCTTAACGGAGGGGTGACTCAGTGCTCACTGCCACCATCACTCACGGTCACTCAGCACATCGTAGGCTTCTGCTATTTGTCTGAATGTCTCTGGTGCAGACGGCTCATTTGATTTCAATGGGTGGTTCTTCAGGGCAAGTTTCCGGTACCTGGAGAAAGAAGGTAATGCAAGGCCTTGCAGCTGACCTGCTTCTGAGGTCAGCGGAGCATGGCTCAGGGCTGGCTCTGGTGCCTAGCCGCCTTGTGAACTGGGGATGAGGGCAAGGGTATCGGTGGCCATTGGGGTGCACTGCTCAGACCTTTTTTGAAGAGAACCCGGGGAAGGGAGTTGGCTGGCAGCCCTGGCAGCTGCCCCCTAAGCATGTGTTCTGAGGTTACTCTTCCCCTTAGCCACGGCCAAGACTGAAGTATAGTAGGGATTCAGTGATGGTCCACCTGTGAGACACAGGACACCTCTGAGTTAGCTTTTTGTCACTAAATACCTGAGGAAAACAACTTAAAGGGAGGGAATGTGGTCACATTTGTTTTGGCTCATGGCTTAAGACTCTCAGTCCATGGCTGGCTGGCTCCATTGCTTTCAGGCTGTGGTAAGACAGAATATCCTGACAAGGATCGTGTGGTACAGCAAAACTGCTCACTGCAAGGCAGCCAAAAAGGAGAGACAGGGAGAGAAAGGGAAGGGAGAAAGGGAGGGAAGAGGAGGGAAAGGGAAAAGAGGGCAAAGGGGGAGAGAAGAGAAACAGAGAGAAGGGTCTGGCAACAAGATAGACCTTCCAAAGTCCAGCCTCCAGAGGCCCACCTTCTCGAACCAGGCCCATTCCAATCAATCCATCGATGAGGTTGATGCCCTCGTGACCCAGTCACCTTTAGTAGCACAACCCGCTGGGAACCAAGTCTTTGACACATGAGCCTTTCATATTCAGACCACAGCATCCTCTACCAGGCAAGCTTGGCCATACTTGGAGTTCTCTTTTCATAGGTTTGGGCCTGCACTGCAGTCTGAAGTTTCCTTCTGTACTCCTTCCCCACATCTTTCACAGGGGTTCCTGACGTACTTTGTACAAATCTAATCCTATCTTGGTGTCTGCTTCTCAAAGACCCAGAACTGACACAGGCATCTCAGGAGGAGGAGACAAAAGCAGGTGTGCGGAGAGCCCTCCGCTCCTGCCAGGCCCTAGCACTGCTTGGCACCTCTGTGCTCACCTTTTCCTCACTTGCTGTCTGCCAGGCCTATCACTTAACCCTGGGATATCTGCAGCATCTGAGTATAAGCCCTGCCAGGATCCCAGGAGAGAAGAGATGGAGTGGATGATCTATGGAGAGTTTAATAAACGGATCATTCACCAAGTGCAGGAAGGGGAAGAAGACACAGAGACAGTACAGTGCCCAGAGCTAGACGTGCTAGGGAGCTCTGACCAGATGGTGCCTGCAGGACTGAGGCCAGGGAGCTGCACTGAAACCCGAAGGAATTTGTGGACATGGCCTGGCAGAAGCTGAGACCATCAAGGGATATAGGCAGCCTGGAGAGACACCATGGGGGGAGCTAGGGACTAGGGACCACAGCCTGCTCTCCTCCTCCATCCTCTTCTCTTCATTCATCTTTAGAAGGAAGTGCAGAGGGAGGCTAGAGGGCAAGGAAGCCTGCTGCACAGGGCATGGTAGGGAGGGCAAAATAGAAGCCTCCAGCCTAGAAACCCAGGCCATTGAGTCCTACCCAGTTTGACCCCACACAGCCCCTGCTGGGTCAGATCTGGGCTCCTGTTCCTGCCCAGCCCTTCCACACAGGAGCCAGAGTTCAGCTGCTTCTCCTCATTCCACAGTCTGCAGGGTGAGCTCGTTTCTCACATGGCTGATGACCATCTCCAACCAGACCCGCTCCCTCAGCTGCAGATATCTGTACCCTGCCTTTGGCTTTCACAATCCCCTCTAAGGTCTTGCAGGCAACCACGGATTCAGTGTCTGAACAGGAACACATTTTTCACTGCCTCATTTCCTCCCAGCTGCTACTGGAAATCTGAGCATCATCTTTAACAAGGACTTCTCTTTGGTTCCCCCCTCAGCCCATCAAGTCACCACATCTCATCAGTTTCTCCTCTTAAATGCTCTGCTCCTTTCTCTCCATCTGGTAACTATAACAGAACCATGTCTCCCTGTATCCAGAAAAACCCTTTCCAATTACATCCGAATTTGTGTACTGCTAATGGGTCTCTCCTTCCCTTCCTCCATCCTTCCCTCCCTCCATCCTTTCCTCCCTCCATCCTTCCCTCCCTCCCTCTGTCCCTCCCTCCCTCCTTTTCCTTTCTTCTCTCCTAAAATATTCTGACCACGTCTCTCTCCTACTGAAACTCTTTACTGATTTCCCTATTGTCTTCAGCATACAATCAAAATGCCTGTACTAAGACTCAAGTCCCACTTTTCTCTCTGCAGTACCATTTCTATGTTCACTCTCTTTCCTAAGTGGGAGAGAAAGGATGAAGTCACAGCTCAAGAATGAATAGTGTGTGAATATGACACATCAAAGTATATTATATATGTCCACCCAAATGTCATAGAGACCCAGAATTTTGTACAATGGACATATGCTAATCAAAGAATTGATGAGTCATGCTGAAGAAGTTGATGGCTGGGCTGGTGATTAACCAACATGGAGATTTTCTTCATTATACAGGCTTAGTATTTTGTATGTGCCTGTGTGTACACAGGTGCACATGGGGGGGTGCACATGAAGGCCAGAACTTAACCTCAGGTATCTTCCTAAGTTGTTCTCCACCTTGTTTTTGTTTCCGTTTTGTCTTTTTGAGACAGGGTCTCCCTGTAGCCTAAACTGGCCTGGCGCTCACTATGTAGACCAGGCTGGCCTTGAACTCACAGAGATCTGCCTGCCTCTGCCTCCTGAGTGCTGGGATTAAAGTGTCTGCCTCCATTTTTGACACAGGTACTCTCAGTGGCCTGGAACTCACCAAGTAGGCTAGGCTGGCTGGCCAGTCAGCCCCAGGGAGCCACCACCACACCACACGGCTCAGCTTTTCTTCATGTGGGTTCCAGGGATCTAAGTCAGGTCCTCATGTTTGAGCATCAAGCACTTTACTGAGCCATCTCCCCAGCCAGCCTACTCCCCTCCTCCTTTTTTTTTTTTTTTTTTTCAGACAGGGTCTCCCTATAGCCCCAGCTGTCCTGGAACTCACTATGTAGACCAGGCTGGCTTTGAACTCACAGAGATCTGCCTGCCTCTGCCTCCCGAGTGCTGGGACTACAGTCGTGCGCCACCATGCCCAGCTTTTTTTTTTTTTTTTGGAAGAGATGAGAAACTGAGACTCAGGTTGATTTGCCTCCCTGAGTGTGTTAACAGCCAGCAGGCAGGAGAACCTGGGCTCAGAATTTGGTGTTCAGTAACTAGGCTGTACTTGTCTTTTTGTTCCCCACTGGCTTTCCCTCCTGGTAACCTTTCCCTTGATGCGTCCCACTGGCCAATGAGAACCCTAAGTAGAAGATGACTGTTCTGAATTGTCTTGTTTCTCCACCTGCATTGGAGACTTGATACTCCACTCTACTCCCAGACAGAACCTGGCCAGGCAGGGTAAAGCCCAGGCACAGGCACAGCAACCTCAGCAGGGATGGTGTGGAATTACTGACTCTGCCAATGACACTTGAATGGCCTTGGAATGACAATGGCATCCACCTCTCAGGGTCACTGAGGATTAAATAAAATGATGATGGAAGGCATTCAGAACAGCACCTACACTGTTCAATAAACGTAGCAGATGTACTGCCCAACCTCAAGCTGTCCTAGACTCTTTTCTTAACACCTTTGATGGTACAATTAATTGACAACTTCATTCTCCTCCCTCTTGAACCTGCTGCAGATCCTTAATCCTCCTCCTTAAGCCTCATCTGTTTATAACATGCACACTGCCTCAGGATGCCTGCACTGCTCGTAAGCTCAGTGTTCAATAAATATTTATCAGAAACTTTTTTTCAAAGAAAAGAAAATTTAAAGACAATTTTTCTTTCAGAAAAAAATGTGCTGGCTTCTATCCTAGATGTTTCTTTCCTCTCTTTGTTTCCTTTTTTTTTTTTTTTTGAGACAGGGCCTTGCTATGTAGTCCAGGCAGACCTAAAACTCGGAGCAGTCCTGCTCAAACTCGGAGCAGTCCTGCCTCAGCATCCTGAGTGCTGAGATTATAGGCGTGCACCACTACACCCATTTCTAGACTTTCATAAAGTCCCAGAGACTTGACAGAGGTATTCAGAGATGCAGTTTTGTCATCGATAAAAATGCATAATGGCCAGAATAGGAATTTCACCTCCATCTGGCCAGGCCATTCCTGGCTCACAGACCCATGGCTCTCTAAAAGACTCAGGATAAGGTCCAAACGGTCCTTTGGCCTCATTTCGTTGCTAGAAATGCCAACGGGAGCGAAGAGGAGCTAAGACGCCAGAGCACTGAGCATTCGGAATCCGCTGAGGCACTAAGGGGTGTCTGAATTTCCACCCTGCATCCTGACTCAGCCCAGAGCAAGGATAAGGTGCGAAGGAGCGAGGTGCCCCTTGCTGGCCCTAAACTGCGCAGGGAAGCAGTTTGGACAGTATGAGGGTTGGGGATGCCCCAGCACACCCCCAGTTGGCGCCCGCCGACTTACGCCTTCTTGATCTGGGCATCCTCTGAATTTCGAGTGATCTGGAGCACAGCATAGTAATCCTGCCCCATGGCTGCTGGCCTCCGGGTTGTGCTCCGACTAGCCAGACTTAGTTGCGTTCCTTGGTTGCCCCTGACAACCGCTAGGGGCACTCTGGGAGTTGCAGTCCTGGGAGGAGATGGAGATGGAGAGATGGCTCAATGGTTAAGAGCAGTGGACACCGGCTGTTCTTGCAGAGGACTCGAATTAGTTCCCAGCACCCATATTATCGCTCACAACTGCCTGTAATTCTAGGTCCAGGTGACCTGCCTTTCTTTTCTGTAGGCCCCTGAACATGTTACACATATAAACTCATGTAGACACATACATACATAATAAGTTAATTGTTTTTGTTTTTGTTTTTTATTTAACACAAGGAGAACTGGAGCTGGTTCTGTGACCCTGATTAAACCCGCTCGAGGAGTCACCCAGCATTATTTTTTTTAAATGAGTACAGCAGCACCTTTAAAATTTTCAGAATGAGCAGGGTGTGGTGGCATATGCCTTTAAATCCAGCACTTGGGAGGTCAGCCTGGTCTACATAGTGAGTTCCAAGCCAGCTGGGGCTACAAGGGAGACCCTGTCTCAAAAAAATTTTTTTTCAGAACAAGCTACTATAATCCCAAACACTTAGGAGGCTGAGACAGGAGAACTTCCCTGAGTCTGAGGCCAGCCTTGGCTATGGAGTAATACTCTGTCTCTAAAAACAAAATCAGAACAGAATCATTTGGCTGATTTTTTTTTTTTTTTTTGGTCTTTTTGAGACAGGGTCTCCCTGTAGCCCCAACTGTCCTGGAACTCACTATGTGGACCAGGCTGGCCTTGAACTCACAGAGATCCACCTGCCTCTGCCTTCCAAGTGCTGGGATTAAAGGTGTGCACCACCATGCCCGGCCATTTGGCTGATTTTAAAATATAGTTTTTAAAATTTTAGGATAGTTTCATATTTTCATAAAAGCAGGGAGGATAACAGTATTCTCATATATTCTACACCCCATTTTCCTGATTAACATCTTACATTACAATGGTACATTTTCTTTTTTTAATTTAAAAAAAATTATTTTTAGTGTATGAGTGTTATGCCTGCATGTATGTAAGTGCACCTGTGTCATGCAATGCTGGCGGTGGACAGAAGAGGGCGATAGATTCCCTGGAACGGAACTGGAATTATGGACAGTTGTTAGCTACCATGTAGGTGCAGGGATTCAAATCCAGGTCCTCTGCAAGAAGTCAGTGATCTTAACCACTAAGCCATCTCTCCAGCCCATAGAATGGAACATTTTCATAAATAATGACCAGTAGTGGTGCATTGTTCTAACTAAAGTCCTATTTTATTCAGGCTTCCTACTTCTTACTTCATATTTTCAAGATCTTGTCCAGGATGCCAAATTAAATTTAGTTGTTGCAGGGGCTGGAGAGATAGCTCATCAATTAAGAACACTGACTGTTCTTGCAGAAGACCCAGGTTTGAATCCCAGCACCCACATGGCAGCTAACAACTGTCCATAAATCCAGTCCCAGGGGATCCAACAAACTTTTCTGTCCTCCGTGAGCATTGCATGACACAGGTGCACTTACCTACATGCAGGCAATACACACATACACATAAAATAAAAATTAAAAATTTAGTTGTTGCCGGGCGTGGTGGCACATGCCTTTAATCCCAGCACTTGGGAGGCAGAGGCAGGCGGATCTCTGTGAGTTCAAGGCCAGCCTGGTTTACACAGTGAGTTCCAGGACAGCTGGGGCTACAGGGAGACCCTGTCTCAAAAAGACAAAAAAAAATTTAATTGTTGCATTAGTACATTTTCTCTTGTTATGAAAATTTTAAAATTAGGGGACTAGAGAGATGGCTCAGCAGTTGTGAGCACTGGCTGCACTTGCAGAGGACCTGGGTTCAATTCCCAGCACCCACATGGCAATTAATAACCATAACTCCAGTTCCAGGGGATCCAAGACCCTCTTTTGACCTCCTCAGGCATTGTACCATGTGGGTGCACTTACATACACATAACATTAAAAAAAATTTTTTTTAAGTAGTCTGTTGTTGGTCAGGAGAGATGGCTGCTCTTACAGAGGACCTGGGTTTGATTCCTAGCACCCACATAGAGGCTAACATAATTCCAGTTCATAATTCCAGTTCCAGGGGCTCTAATGCCATCATGGCAACTAACAACCATAACTCCAGTTCCAGGGGCTCCGACGCCCTCTTCTGACCTCCGTGGACATTACATGACACAGGTGCACTTACATACATGCAGTAATACACTCATAGATCTAAAAATATAAATAATAAGTCAAATATAAATATTAAACAAAGTATTCTGTTGTCAGAACTCCTTGCTTCAGGGAAGATAGTCTGTCCTACTGAGGCTCTAGCTGACAAGATGAGGCTCACTCACATCAGGAAGGGTAGCTGCTGTACTCACAGTCCACCTCTTTTTCTTTTTAATATTTTATTTGTTATTTTTATTTAATGTGTATGAGTGTATTGCCTGCATTTATGTGGGTGCATCCATGTCGTGCAACATGCCACAGAGGTCAGAAGAGGGCTTTGGATGCCCCTGAAACTGGACGGTTTGTAGCCACCATATGGGTGCTGGAAATCAAACCTGGGTCCTCTGCAAGAGCAGTCAGTGCTCTTAACTGCTGAGCCATCTCTCCAGCCCCCATAGTCGACCTCTTAACTTCATAAGAAAGATGGCTTCAAAGAAACATCTATGAAATGTCTTACCAAATATCTGTGTACCATGGCCAGTCAAGTTGACTCATAAAATTATCACAACTGGAGTGATCCTTGGCTACATAGTAAATTTGAAGTCAGCCTAAGCAACAAGAGTCCCTGCCTAAAAAAAAACAAAAACAAACAAAAAAAGGTGAGTATTATTTAGCAACAGAGAAGTAGTGATATATGTTGCAACATGTATGAACCTTGCTAAAAGATGGAAGTCATACCTAAAAGGCCACATATTACATGTTTCCTTTTATATGAAATGTCTAAAATAGGCAAATTCATAGAGAGAGAAAGTTCACTAGTGGTTGTCAAGGGGACAGAGCAGGTAAGTGACTGAGGGCACAGGGTGTTCCTCTTCTTTTCATCCTAAGTATGTCAGGGGCTTCAGGTTGTAACACAGACATGGCCATGTCCAACAAGCAGACTGCACACTGCACACATCCAGCTCCCAAAATCACTTATAAAGGCACCAAGAATCCCAGTCACAAAAAGCCAAGGGGCGGGGGGGTTGCACACCTGGGATCAAAGCACTTGGGAGGTAGAGGCAGGAGAATCCAGAATTCAAGGTCATTCTGGGGTACCTGATATCCTGTCTCTTGACCTGAGATTTCCTGACTTCTTCAGGTCCTGTGCTTCTTGACAAAGTGCGTGTTACTTACAAGCTCGCTGTCTGCTCTCATGAGGTTCATCATCTTTTTGTCTTGTGATTGGGATTCTGGAGAGGGGGAAGGGGGAAGGGTGTAGTGTGTGTGGGGGGCGTACTTGCCCATGTGGGTTCATGTGGAAGACAGAGGTCAACATTAGGTGTCCTCTGTTGCCCACCACATTTTTTTTTTTTTTTGGTATTTTTGAAACAGGATCTCCCTGTAGCCCCAGCTAGCCTGGAACTCACTGTGTAGACCAGACCATGCATGGTGGTACTTGCCTTTAATCCCAGCACTTGGGAGGCAGAGGCAGGCAGATCTCTGTG